TATGTATATATGTACAAGTATATCAAATTGCAATGTAGCAATTTTCTCGAAGGTGGTACTGAAATTTCAGGATTTTTTAATTCAAAATTTCACCATTTTTAAGTTTAACTGTTGATTTCTACTTAAGCGTTGACGATATCTCGCAATTATCACTATTGTCCATGAACAGGCTAAATCAAACCGAGCCTGCAATACGTATAATTATTTTCAATTTTATCGTTTTGGGGCGCTCCTTAAGGATTCTTTTTCCCTGTATTGTACATGATATGAACGCACTGTTGTTAGATAACTGAATTTATTTATATCTTTTGAAAACCAGCTAGTTATGTCTTCATTGATATACTAGTAGATTATGTCAAAATAAAGTGTCATGGCTTATCACAATTTTATATGTATCTATAAGGATATGATAGACTTGATAAAACTTCTTTCAGGTACGATTGGCTTACTATGCATGATAACTGCTAAAGCTATGGGAGCTACAAATATTTGTATAACTGGTGAGTGGTTGGTACAAGTTTTTAAATGTTTCTTTATCTTATTTTAAAACAATACAAACTGTAATGATGACAACTTCATTTATAATGTAAGCTTTATTGAATTAAATAATTAATGGAAGTTTAAAGATAAATCTGCAAATTATGAAATTGATAGGCAAATCTGCAAATTAAGATGTACTTTATGTGTGAGCTAGCTAAGCTAGCTAGATGATATATAAAAAACATGGAGCTCAAAATACAAACGAGTAAAATATTTACGTTTCTCGTTAATTTAACAGGGGTCGTTAACTTCAAACCCCTTGCCCTTCACTGCTGTGGATTCGGATCCCGCCAGCCAGATACTTTGGGGAGTTTTTTGCTAACTTACGTGACATCGGTAGTTCTACTCAGGTGCATAAAATAATACACAGAGAAGCATCTGAGGTCTTCCTCCACTAGTAAATCTGGAATGTTGTCGCCATATGACCTACGTTAAACGTAACAAAAAAAAACCCGAAGTAGAATAAGGGACGAGGAAAATCATGTTTTTTTTCACCAATATAACTCAAAGGACCATACCTCTGTCATAGAAATAATCAAATAAATCATAAAGTACCAAATACTTAATGACTCTCTTTTTGTGAAAGTTTAGGAGAAATGTAGGGATGTTTGCGCACTGCAGAAACTGGTTATGCACACCCGTTAACCTGCTGACAATTACCAATCTAATTGCCAGAGAGCTTTGCTCAAATTTATATTTACTAAAAGTATACATGCACCACATTTTCCTGCGCAAGAAGAGCTGCTATATTTATAATCATATTCCAGATGTTGTTGAAGAAAGACTGAAGCTTGCTAAACAGTTAGGAGCTACACATACTGTTCTTACAAACTCTTCTGACGTGGACTCTGTCGTCAAAGAAATTCACAGTATCATGGGAGAAATGCCTGACATAACTATTGAATGTACAGGGAACAACTTTTGCCAACGATTAGCTATAATGGTAAGCATGTCATTTGGCATATCTGCTTGTTTAAAAGTATTTTCTTTGATAATATTATTTTTGTACGTGCCGAACGCTGAACAGTAGAGTTCGTGAAGAATATATCCTGCAAGAAATAATAAGTCGCACTCGACTAATACTTTGACAATGTGTAAACATAGCCCTACTGAACTGAGACCTATAGATATGTCTTGCTTTGCCGTAACTTGTAAACAACTAAAAGGAGTTACATATTTTACATATGATACAAATAGTGTGAATTTACTCATTTTCGTTAATTTAATTGTATGGTGTGTAATTATTTGTGTTTCAAAGTATTCATATAAGTAGTCACAACGAAGTTAATGAATTTTGAATAAATTAAGTCATGGTGTCTGTTCAATTACAGTCTACAATACCAGGCGGCTGTGTTGCTATAGTAGGATATGGGGCAGAAGAAGTAACTTTACCTTTAGCAGTACTGTGTCAAAGACAAATTGACCTTCGACCTTCGTGGAGATACGATCAACATTGGTAAATTTTACTTGATGAAATTAATTTCTTAAACATTTGAATTGGATCACCAATGAATGACCTATCTTTTATATCAAGATAAGAAATGGCTCCAAACGATGTTAACCCTAATGGTTGGTCCATGTCGCAAACATTCAAATGGGTTGCACCGTCATAATGCATTGTTTGAATATTATAATTAAATGGCTAATTTTCTGATGCAAATTATATATGTATTAATCAGTACATTTATTTGTTATTATTTGGAATAAGAATGAGTACCTTCAAGAAAAGCAATACGTAAAATAAATCTGCATAATTTTGACACTTTACATCTTATATGAAACAATATATTCAGTAGCTTTTATGTTTTAGGTTCAACTATACATAATTCTGTGTTTCAGTTATCCAATAGCAATAGATATGGTAGCATCTGGTAAAGTCAACATTAAACCATTGGTGACACATAGATTTACTTTAGAGCAAACTACAGATGCTATTCAAGTGGCAGCCAGTCGTAGACCAGGGGTCCTTAAATGTATGATAACTTGTAACGAGTGATACCAGAAGAACAGATACAGTAATACAAAGACCGCTACAGTCGAAGTTTTGGTTACATATTATTGCAATATCGGCAAGAAAAGATATTTATATGCAAAACATAATAGTATGAATTAATTATTGCATATAATACATATCATAACGCATTATGTACATCTTGTATTAAAAATGCAGCAAATAAAAAGTTAATGTGATTGTATTTTTGTGCTTGTGGTGCTAATATTATGTATAGCAGATAGTTTTGTCAATTCAATATTATATAACGTAATATATATTTGAGCTTATTTTGCAATTAATATGATATTAAATTAAATATTTGTTCGGTTTTATATCCTTGAAAATTAGATATTATTTACAGATTTGCTTAAGAATTATGATTTAGAATAATTTATGGTGTTTAAACTATTTTTCCAATGACATACAGTATGTTAAGAAACTATTGTTTGGGACTTAAGGTAGAACGCGACACTTTGCGAACTTTCGAGTAGCGTCTTGAAAATTGGCATGCAAAAAGTTGACCATATTTCTGATTAGGTTCCGTTGATTTTATTTCAATAGTTTCAGCCAATTTTTGTACACATAACGTCAAAGTTGACCATCAAGCCCGTTTTTGAACATGACGTCGTTGCGTATCCTTGGCAACTGTTACGGGTATTTCAACGCCATTGGCGAACACAATATCTTAAATCCTAAAGCATTCGACGGAAATTATTTTTTCCTTGAAGCAGATATAAAATTTATTGTTTTACGCTAAAAATTGTTTGAGTAATGGAAAGAAAATTGTCAATTTTGTGTAAAATTTGACGTTCAGTTTAGCCGCATTTTTCGGCTTTAAAGCGGCTTATTAAAAAATTCCTGAAATAAATTTTTGATTTTATTCTTTAAACGTCCTTTAAAATGTATACTTAGTCAAAATAACTAAAAATATTAGAACTTTGACGCCGTGTGTACAAAAATTGGCTGAAACTATTGAAATAAAATCAACGGAACCTAATCAGAAATATGGTCAACTTTTTGCATGCCAATTTTCAAGACGCTACTCGAAAGTTCGCAAAGTGTCGCGTTCTACCTTAATCAATATTAGTGTAATTATGCACGAGAAAACACATTGCAATAAATTTATTTTCTCCTCCTAGATATGAAATGCGAAAAATCTTATAGATAACATGTAGTAAATTATGGAAGGGAAATGGCGGCATTTAATTTGTCGATATTTTCACCCATGGGCATTTGATTCGATTTCTGGTTGGTACTCGGCCATTCCATATATGGCACCCCAGTAATAGTTAGTCGAAGAATCGAAATAAACACTTGATATACGCATGTAGGTTGTAAGAATTTACTTTTTACTAGGTTGTAAGAATTTACTTCTTCCTTGAGGTTTAATCTGTATGCTTCCATACTTTATTGGCATGGTTAAAAATAAAAGTAATTTCTTAGAGATTTATTTAAAAAGAAATGTTGATTGTCATTAAAGTGTTTTATTATTTTAACTTCAGATACATTGAATTGATAACACATACACGAATTTGTGAGTGATGCAGTATTTTTATCATCAAGTTTCCGAAATAAAAACATCTTAATAAAGTACATCAAATATCACCACTGTCGACTAAAGAATCTGAATTTGAATGCAATACCACATTGTTTAAAGTGAATCGTAGGTTTAACAACCGAGTTCTTCCACTTTGATTGGGCAATACTTTTTTTATAAAAGCATGGCCAGTTAACGAGAAAGCAATGAAACTATTCATATGAAAGAGCTAATTTAAACTAAAATATGAAATATCTCTTTTTCAATAGTACTTATGTTTGTCATTTGAAGGCGTTGTTTTAAGCTAGTATTCTACTGCATTTGTACTTGATTCATTTGTACATGAAAAATATTTTTTAATATGAAATATATCAGTGTTTCATTCAAATTATTGGTACTGTTTGACCTCAAAAGTCAATGAAGGGATTTGACCCTTTTTTGGAGAGGTGCCATTTTTACTATTATCATTTTGTGAGAAAAAAACTTCAAGTGGTCCAGATACAACTTTATCTTGACCATTTTCTCCACTGAATGTTTTAACCCCTGTTAGGAAGGTACGTATAGTGTACTCTGTTCCTGGTTTGATATCCACTGGTTTATCAAACAAAACTAATTCAGAAAACTTAGACTTTTCGTACATAATCTTTAAATTGTCCTTAGATGTCATTTCAGATGTGCTATTTTGCAAACTAACTTTTCCTTCTAAACTTCCTATTGAATTTGGAGCAAATAAACTTAAACCTAAAAGCTTACACGGAATGGAAACTTGAAAATTCAAAACGTCAGGATTTCCACTATAACACCAACCCTTACCACGATTCTGTCCAAATCTTTGCAGTTCAACAATTTCTGTTTTAGCCCGTTTACGTAGTATTGTGTGGAAGGGGGGACATATATTACTATTAACTATTCCTGCTATAGTTTGAAATACGTACACTTTTTCTTCTGGCGTCAATATATCTTCAATGGCCACATTCTCAGCAAATGTTTGGAATGGCATTGTTGCAAACCTGACTGAATATATGAGGTCCCCTAACTCACGCCTCAGCTCTTCCCATGAAGGTTTCTGTTGATCAGTTTTGCTATTACACTGTGCAATTGCCCAGCTCTTGCATGCATCATACACGTTTAATTCGTTAGCACAAAGTTCATCTGATTCAATAATTTTCTTTAAAACTTCTTTGGAAATAGTCGAAAGACCGTCTGATTTTAAGACCGTTTCAGCGTTCTGCATCACAAACTTTAAACATCGCTTTTCCAAACCATCTTCATGAAATTCAATAGCATGTTGCAATATTGTAAAGACATTGTCGCAAGACATATTTATGTTGAGGAACTTTTGGCAGGCTTCGTTAAGACGCTCCAGTTCATACTTCTTTGAACAGTAGATTAGAGCCATAACATTATTCTCGTCAACGCAGCACTCTTCCGTGTAAATGAATCTTTAAAATAATGGAATGATAAAGTGAGTAAGTAGCATAGTAATGTCGTTAAATTGGCATAATATTGCAATATTTGTATGAATCTGCGGCTTATCTAATAGCAAACAAATGATATTTATTGTAATTTCATTATAATGCAATGCAGAATTGTAAGCCATTAGTATATTCGATGTTAAAGTCTCAACATAGAAAGTCTTCTTCAAGCAGGGTTTTTTTCTGTCAAACCGGTGTAATAATTAAAGTAAAGGAATTAAAAAATCCTAAATTACCTTAACAAATCGAGGAATATAGCAGGTTCTATATCAAGAACATCCACTGTTTGATTGGTCTCTGGAAGTGATCCACAAAACATTGTAAAGAAGACTGGACTTCTACTTGCTAAAATAAATCGGTGTGCCATTATTATTTCTTCCTTTCCGCTCCCCACAAGAAAAGTGACGTCACAAAGTCTTTCATCCTGCAACATCCGCCAGTTAGTCTCTTCAAACGATCTCCTACATTGCCACATAGTTCCTTTTGAGCACGTCATGATTGACTTATTCTACAAAATAATTAAGCAATATCTAAAAATTGAAAACTAAAAAAATGCGGGCAAAAACGTGGGAAAGAAACATGCAGAGGCTATAGTCATCATGACAAATAAAACAATAGTGAGGCAAAGAAGCATGCTTGGATTCCTCTGGATGCATTGAACTTTTCAGTTTTGGCACAATACTCAACCCAGAAACATTTTTAAACTGATAGATATTGATGATAAAAGATGAGACACTTTTGCATTGAGATCAGTGAAAAATACATCTTTAGAAATGACATATCTGTACAAAAAGTTTAACTATGTACAATGTAGTAAATAATACATTCATAAAATTAAAGACCCGTATTTTTGTAATTCACTAAAATCATATAATTTCTGAAGTGACAAAGAGCTCCTAGAAGTCAAATGAGGTTAATAAGGTTGGTTTCTCCTGTTTTTATGTGCATTTATGTTTATGTTGATTTGATGGGCTTCTATATACATTGTTTTTCTTTTAGGTACGATTGCCATACTTTGTAAGTTCGGAAAGCTTCAGATGATTGTACAATTGGTGAGCATTAGTTGAAATTTAAAAAAAACGCCTAATTCTGACCGATAAATACCATTAATATAAAGAGTTCAACTGAAGTTGATAACACAAATCATGTTTGTATTTGAATCATATGTGCCAGTGATCTTGCAAACACCAGAGAGCTCACTGCAATTGCGTAAAAATAGTCATGTTCCTTGTTCCACTTATATGTTTTATACATGTATGTTTAATCTGTATATCAAATACTTAAAAGTATCCAAGAGAGAACAAAAGCTGTCATCGCGATTTTGAGTTTCCAAATACTGAACGCAATTACGAAAGACAAACTATTGGGAAAATATAATACAATTATATCTGCATCAATATCAAGAAATAACAAATATTGTATATCTTTGAACCACATAACAGTCATATGACCATGTAAGATAAAAAAAACACTCACAAAACTGTCTGACAACCATCTGAAATCTAAATCCCTTCGGAGGCAAAGATAAAAGAGTAAAAACTCAAACAAAATTCTTAGTTCAAAAAGGTGAAAACTCTTGAATTTAAGACACTTAGCTATATGAACCTCGTTATATTTATGATGTGAGGGATGTCAAGAAACAATTATCTGAAGTCTTACGTAGACATTATCACTAACAAAGAAGATAAAAGTAGGTTATGTTGGGCTTAGATACTCAATTTTTTTTAATAAATTACACCTAACTCAATGTCAAAGTAGTGATAAAATTATTTTGCAATGTCCTGAGACCTATAATCTTCGGCAGCTGCGTGGAGGCTCAAAGCCCTTTCTATGTTCTGTAGTCTCTGTTTAATGAGGGACGTCCACCATTTTTGTTAATGCAAAAAAAGATTTTTTCTCTATCGAGTACTGACCTCGGAATTATCAATAGAATTTCTAAAATTTAAGCACAAAATGTTGTTCCAGCATTTTCCACAACCTATTACATAAAGAAATTATTTTTGAGCTGAAAGAAGGTAATTGTGACAAAGCTCTGATAAGCTCAGCTGTTGCCAAGCATATAGCCTGTCTTTCAAGTCGTCAGTTAGAGCTTTGCACTCAGGCACCCTGTTACAAGAAGTATTTAATAACATCTACTCGTTACTATGCCTTAAATCAGGACATCAGCAGCTGGTCAATAAGTCTC